ATCTTACCACAAAGCAAATGAGATAATTATATTATTATTATGAGATATAAAAAAAATGTTCACATATTGCTAAGTAATTTATTTATTTGCAATGAAATTATTGTTGTGTAAACAATTAAATTGTAATAATTGCAAATAAGAGACAAACAAGCAAACAAACTGAGCGAAACCATGAATGTATCTGAGTTGTAGAGTATTGATATTTTAACATTTAAATAGTAAAGGTGCGAAGAGTTGTTTTTAATATGAAAACGATTTAAATAAGCTTAAATACAATACGTACATGCAATACAGTACAGGCAGGCAGACGTCTCAACACCTTTCGATATAAATTTGTAAAGCACGAATGCGTCATTTGGGTTCGCCTTTAATCCGGCGTTTAATAAAATGCACACGCACGCCGCTTTTTGCACCGACGTTTTAAACAGAATTAAGTAACACGTTATGGAGCTGGACTGCATTAAAATCACATTGGTCACTTATTTTAATGGGGCTTCACGGACCTCATCACGGTGTTATTGTGGAATGAACTGATATTACTAGATTGTGTAAATTGATGTATTTTGCGAAATCTATTGCACACACACACATTTACCAGACTTAAGTGAAATGTGTTTGTAGTAATTAAAATAATTGTTTTGCTTACAGGATTTTCAATATCTAACAGTATTCACAGTTTTAAAAAATATTTAGAAATTGCAGTGATAATTGAAATTCGCAGAGGGAAATAAATAAATTGATTTTACATGCCTCTCTATGCCACACTGCGTTTTGAAAAAAAAAAAACGTTTAACTGCATCGAATTATCACGTTAATAGAAAAAAATAGTTGTTAAAAAAACATTAGCAATACTAAACATGACAGTAAACAATAGGGAAGGATTTCAGTAGAAAAGACATAAACAAACACTAGACATTTGTCTTGCATAATTCTCTTTATACAATCATTTGTTTTTATCTTAAGTATAGCATACGAGGTCTGATAAATATTCACACATTAATTCTATTGCAATGATTTTGTACTTTACAAGACTATAAACAATTTTGCTTTGTCTGGAAAAATAAGCGTTTCCTCTGATATCATATACATATCTTGCACTTTACTTCACTTGCAAAACTAAAATAAAATATAAAATTGCAGAAAACAAGAAAAAAAAATGTCAAGTATCTTTTTAAATTATACTCGCTCGCATTGTTAGATATGCTTTTAAAAATAACAAGAGGTGTTTATGATATAAACTTTTTTGTAATATAATATTAAAAGGTGAAAATTTACTATTATCATAAATTACAACAAATATAAGTAGTTTTTTAATGTTTTACGTATTGTTTATTTATTTATATAAAATATCTATTTTTGTTAAAATCATATTTATGTAATAAAACATTTATGTCATATAATATATTTTTCTGACAATACGTATTGACTGTTTTTAAAAACATTAGAGTTTCTTCTTATACTTATTAACAGGAAAACATAAAATATAGATTAAACTGGCAGCCGAGATCCATGACAGAGAAATTAAAATTAAGAATCATTACATTGTAGATATTTGAATGGATTCGGAAAAGAAAAGCATTGTACAAAACTTATTAAAAAATATTTATTTATATTGGAAAAGTAATACCGGTTTTTCCACAAAAAGCAGTAGAAAACTAACTTCAAAACCCAATTAAAGGAAAATAATAGACACATATCATAGACAAAAAATTATTAGTTAAAAATCTTCCTAAGATAATACAAAATAAAGAATTCTACATAAATTGTTTTCTAGAATTATGATCGAATTTTTTGAAAAAATAAATCACAAAAAAAAAAAAAATTAAACTATCATAATTTCCAAATCCATTTAAGTACAAGCCTGTATTACATCTATATATAAAATTAATAAATATTTAGTGAACCGAAAATTTGTAATCGTTTCTACGATACGTTGTATGTATTTTAATAATTATTAAAATTGAGCCAACAGGTACGATGCTTTTTGTTTCTGGAATGAAGAAATCACCTCTTGTATTTATACCACTTTATAACGAAACATATATATATATATATATATATATATTTGATTTTCACATACACATACGAAAATAAATTTAAAAAAAAATTTTTTTTTCAATTAGTTTTGTTGGATAAAAAAATAAGTAATCCTTTATTTTAATGGGTAACAAACCCTGTTAAAATTTATCAAATACAATTTAGTAATATCTGAATAAATAAAATATTCTAACACACTTTTATTGGATAAAAAATATGGATGAATATGGATATTCTATTAAAATTTAGGATATGCTATTCACGACATTTTTATCATATTACTAAAAAGGAAAATATGAGAATAAAATAAAAACTCATTGTTATACTCGTAAGATAAAAATATAACATATTTTAATGGATAATAGATCTTGTTAATATCTAGAATATGTTATCCAAGACATTTTTATTAATAAAAACTGTAAAGTTTTATCTATTCTGTTTTATAATTTATTTCTTTATAAACTTTGGTTTAACAGGTAGTATTAATTATTTTAAAACAAAAGTTTTTATTACAAATACAAAAAAATTCTTTGAAAAACAGATAAAAATAAATTATATGAATTTAAATAAATATAACAGAAATTTGTATTGAAAACACCTCAAGATAAAATCATTGATAAGACACTGTTGCTAACAGTAGTCTCTGTTAAAAGCTAAGTTATATTTTTATATCCATACTTAACGGGTTTATAACATATATCTTAAGATAATCAGAATTAAATCTATTAAAATTAATAGAGTTTACAACAAAACATTTAATTGTGTTAGTACAAATAAAAATTTTGTATAGAAGTAATTCACTACATAATTTATTTAAAAAAATATTAAATAAAATATTTTAAAAATGTCTATTAAATAATTTGTTGCAAAATTTTGAAAATAGGAACATTAATTAATGCATTAATTATATATTTAATATTGTTGTTAACACATAAAAAAAATTTGCAAAATAACTGCATCCAAAATTAAATTCTCACATAATAATTTTCTTAAAACCTACAGATTTTGATTTATGTTTTCAAAAAAATTTTTTTTAGGAAATAAAATGTTATACTAACCCAGCCATACGAAAAAACCTCAACTTAACAAGGTGAAGGTTAATAAAACACGTTCACACACAGCACTAAATGTACTGCAAATCAAGTAATATTTGTTAATTCGATGTATAAAGAACGATTTATGGAGTAAAATTTAAATTAAATTTAACACGCAAGTATATAACATGTTAAACTAAGAATAGTTTTTTCAAGATTTAAAAATAATGCAAAATCATTGTAGGCTACTAATAATAATAAAAAAAAAGTCATCTATAAGCGCCTTTATTAAAACCCACAAGTTGCTAACCTTGTCATCTGAAATGACTAACAACGCGGGAAAATCATTAATGAAATATATTTACAGAATAAAAAAAATAAAAACAATTCTTGTTAATATATAATGACGAAAAATCTTAAGTTTTTAAGAAAAAGAGTACATATATATACGTTGAATAACAGAGGCGGAGGTTTTACAATTTTTAAAAATTATAAAATTATAAGCGGTAAAATATTAATAATATTGGAATAAAGTAACTGATGCTATTGTCTATAAATAGACAGCTTTCTTTAGTAGGATAACGCTGACTTAACACATCGGTGACATTATTATTTAAAGTGCCATCTTAACAAAATAGGACTAATTAGCAGGAAGGAATACAATTACTGAGTAGTAGGAGTAGGAGTAGGAGTAGTGTGCCATTACAGCCTGTTCGATTGCTCGGTTTTGCTTGAGGAATCAAGATATTGGGCCAGAGACTTTTGCACCAATGTATTGGTAATAACATATTTTACAACAAAAAATATATTAGTTTCAATTAAGCAATCGATATGCCTTTTGAGTGGTTTTTTTTTAGTAGTGCAAAATATTTATAAGATTATATCTAATAAATAAGATATATATTTATCAATTATAAAATTCCATTATTATTTATTATTCTAGCAAAACATTTAGTTTCCGTTGCTAAAAATAAAAGTTTATTGGTCCTTTAAAAGGAGTATCAAGTGAAAAATAAATAGCTTCTGACATAGTTTTCTCGGAACTTATATTTAAATGTTTATAACTGGTTATTAAAACATATATTCGTAATATTCGATACATGCACATATAAAAAAGATGAGATATAATTGAAAGTATATATATATATAACGAACATGACATATCTTATCGTGTCCTTACATGAAATACTAATTTTTTTAAAACAATGTAGCCGAGAACTATGTAATTTACCGCAATCAATAAATGTAACAAACTATAGTGACTTTTTGATCTAAATGAACATATATTTTTTAAGCTTCAAATTTGGCAGGACACGAGTTCGTATTTGTAAAATTATTTACAAATATTATATACAAAAAATAGTTCCAAGACTAT